CTGAATGCTGGAGAGTGTGGAATATAGCAGAGGCTTGGCTCTCCCAGGACCTGTGTGGGGTGGGGGGAGGGGCTGTGCTGTCACCCTGACCCTCTGCTGCCCTCCCGCACAAGTGGATTAGCTCACCTCTGGCTTTAATTAGGGGGTTAAACTGCTGTCATCTGGCTCTTCTTTCACTGCTGGAGTGGAGGTGGAAAACAAAAGAGCCACTTCAATGGCGCCCCGCCAGGGGACCCTCCTTCGCCCTGCTCCGGAATCGCAGCCCCTCTCAGCACGGAGCGGCGCGGGCCGTGTCAGTGCCGCTCCCTGACCAGGCCAGTCCTGAAGGACGGCACGCCCTTCCCAGGAGCGCGGCGCTGTGGAGTGCAGCCCACACTCCCTGCAGGCTGCAGTGCTGGGGTTCAGGTCAGACACTTTTGGGCTTCGCTGTAGATGATGGTTGCCCACATGGCAGGAAAAAGCCTGCCAGGTTGCATTTTTAGGACATCTTGGTGTCTTTCCTGTGGTTCAGCCCATGCACCTGCTTTACTTTCCCTTTGCCCCTCTGAGCTGTGACCTTGGCTGACTGCAGCTTACCGTACCTTTGCAGCGGTCTGCCCAAGGTGGCGTTGGCCAGTATTTCCTTTATGCCCCGCTGCCCCTCCTTGTGACGTCTGGGTAATCAGCAGGGTGAAGTGCTCTCCTGCTCTTCCTGCTACGGCAAGTCCAGTGAAACTGGATGGATGCTGCTTGGCATGTTTCTGCCACGGCGATAAAGGGAGAGGACCCCCAGCACCCCTCCTGAACTCCAGTCAGCTCCGACTCTTCTGATCTGGCAATTTTCAGCTGTTAAACAAGGAATCGCAGTAATAAACAGCTGAGCTCCACTGTTATAAAACCCCTCAATCCCCCCGGGCAGCTGCAGGGCATCGGGTTTCGTCTGGCCCTCGATACCCCTGAAAAGGTTTTTCAGAGTTTTGGTGGCTTTTCTTTGCCCCACCAGCAAAGTGAAATGACATCCCACTGCAGAGACTGGTCCTTATCAGCCAGTAACACGGGGCATATTCAACACTACACCAAGATTTTGCTCAAAAAGATGACCAAAATCTACTTAAAAGTCTAGTGCCCAGTATATACCTGACTACAATACAGTACATAAGAGATTTCGTCACCATGGGCACTGCTGGGATCGCAGTTCTTCAAGGTGTTCATGGCTACAAACCCCGCTAGCGCACACGGGAGTGAGTGAGGAAGTGCTAGCAGACTCCTGGGCGTCACGTATAGATTGTACCACATCACAGGTGACGCAGCCTCATACCAGAGGATCAGCGCTGAATGAAGGGGAGGTGCGTCCCTCACCAACAGCACGCCGAGAGGCCACGGGGGGCACTGTGTTGCCACCCTCTACCCCCTGGCTGAATGCCACCGCTAGGGGAATCCCAGTCACTGTTGGCTAGTGTTGGGCATGACCCAGGTTCGAACCAGTGACACGTGGGTCACAGAGCTCAAGGGGCACTTAGATGCACAGTATGCCAGTACCGGCTGAACCACTGTGGAGCCCCCCTTGATCGCACCAGACTCTCTAAAGAGGGGCTCACTGGGCTGAGGGTGAACGTCTTAAAATGTCAGCGAGGCGGGATACAGGTCACCCCTATCCTGACGTGTCTGATAGAGGAATTCATCTCTCCTGGATAATGTTTCCAGGAACCTGCCCATTCCTGAAACCTGCATCGCTGCTCCTGGCTGCACGGTGGCTCTGCATCCAAGGCTGGAAGCTGTTCCAACCGGGATATGATACTACAGAAGATATATATTTTTTAAATAATGGAGCAATCTGTATGTGGATGGAGTGTTTGCAGTTTACTGAATCCTAGGAAAAGGAAAATCCTTAAAAATCATGAAGCTCTCCCAAGACAGATGGCTTTTCCTCTCTAGCTGATTGAGAAATGGAGTCTCAAGGCCCTGAGGGAATCTACCAGCACTGCTCACCTGTTCCTGGTTTTCATCCATATGTTGTCCAGATCTGTTTCACACTCCCACAACTCTTTGAGTAAGGAAGCCCTCGGTTTTAGGGGCTGAAGGAGGGCATCTCGTCATCAATGACAATGAAGGAATGCTCAAACCTGGTTTGTAGTGTTGACTGGCGTTCTGCTAGCACTAGTGAAAGCCCGAGTTAGGTGTTAAGCCTTCAGTGTTTACAAGTATGGGATGGAGAGAGACGTTCATGTAGCAGTTTTGTCTTTAGTAACATCTAACATCTCTTGGAGGCTGGCGGAGTGAAATTCAGTAGCCTGTTGGCAGCGATTGGCTCTCTGCTCAGAACGCTCACCTCTTAGTAACAGTAATTTGGCGTCCAGAGGCTACAGCAGGCCCACAGCTGGGGGGGGGGGTATACTTCATCTTCATTAGGCTAATGTCCCGTGAAGACCTAATCCCCTTTTAAAATTCATTCCTCTGTTGTAGAATCACCTCTGTACATGGATGGCTAACCTGATTGCTGCGCTCAGAACAGTACAGTAAGGTCCGTTGAGTATGAAGCAGACCTTGATCGTGCTGCAGTTTCTTCCTTCTGTTTGAGCTGTTTTTGGGGTGTTCACGGGGGGCGTTCATGAGCGGTTCTCTTCCTGGGGAGGCCAGGTCCAGGAAGTGCACAGGGGGGAAGCAATGAACAGTTGCACCACGCCGCTTTTCTTCAGTCAGGGTTTATGTATCGAAGGCACAACGATACAGCGACAGCAGGAGTTGCTGGCGACGAAATGCCGTGCCCCCCTGCGCTCTCAGGCCCTCAGCCCCTGACTCGTTCGTCTTCTGACCGCTGCTCCGCCAGCGCTGGGATGGCGGTGGCGCAGGTGTGCGTGTGGAAGGAGCGTGCGCGGGTGTGTGGGCTGTGTGTCGGCGGGAGTGTTTACGGGGCTGCGTAACCCGAGCTGGCCGCCGCGGGCCCTGGTCTAAAAACAGCCCGGCAGCTGGGCAGGGCCGCACACGCACACACGCACACACGCGCACACACAAACGGGCCCCTCGGAGCCTGCTGCCCCACACGCCCTGGGGACCACAGCTGGCACGGGCCGGGCCAGAAGCTGCTCTCGGGCCGTGGGTCCCGGAACCAGCAAGCCTCCCGCGAGCCCCTCGCGCAGCCGCGTGCCGGGAATGTCGTTTCCCGTGACGGCCCCCGGGTGCCCGTGTGCCTCTTCCCGCTGGCTCGGCCGCTCGGCCCCTCCATTAAACCCCTCTTCTGTCCTCGGACAGACACCTGCCGAGCAGCGCAGAGAGCCGCGAGCCCCGGCGCAGGTCTGTCGGACCCGGCAGGAGACGGGGCCCGGGCCGCTCGTGGTTCTGGACAGATCGGCCCGCCACGCGCTGTGCTTGGGGGGGAACTGCGATCCAGGATCGCGGCTGGTCGCCCGCATCCCCTGCCGGTCTCCTCTGCTCCGCGCTCCGCCGATCGATCCGGCGGGGGGGGGGATCAATAGGATTCATTGAGGATAATTGGACTTCCTATAAGTGTGAACTGAAGCACAAAGCCCGAGCTCTGGGGGCGCAGCGCGGGGTCGATGGGTCGAGCTCGCTCCCCTCCACACCCCTCCCTCCCCGTGCAAAAGGCACACCGAAACCGCGAAAGGGACAGTCCTTCCCGAAAACTGCCACCCCCCCACCTCCTCCCACTGGCAGCATTCTTCCCCGATTCCCAGAGCCGAAGTCAGCTCGTTCGCTGTCTGTCCTGCTCCCCCTCCCCTCTGTCTCTGGCCAGGCGAGAGGCTACAAGCCCTCTCTCTGCTCTCCGCTCTCC